GTGACAGTTGAAGTCACAAAAATTAAGCGATAAAAGGGCAGTTGTGACCCTAAGTGTCGCCTACAGTGACTAAAAAGCACTATTTCCTTGTCTTTTTTTCCTACAAAATTCTAGATTTCAACAAGCGAATAACTGTTTGTACCAAAATGCAGTCCTACGTCTGTCATTTAAGCATTTTATTTTTCAAATTTTCCATAAACATCTCAAGCGGCTTTCTCTTTGGACACTGATTCAGAACACGTGTTTTCACCGGATTCTTGCACACAATGAATTCTGAGATATTTTTACATGCCGAGACAGCGGATATTCCATCTACTAAGTCTACAGCCTCCTCGGAATTCTGCCAAAATTTCAAGTCGCTTGTATTCCTCAATAGCCAAAACATCCAAAAATTACTGTGGCAGCTCCAATGACTTGCCTTTAGACGGTCTTTTAAGTGATTCTCTTTAAGCAAAGGTCCAAGTTAATCAAATGAACCGCGGAAGCAAAATCGCTAAAAAAGTCACACACCAAGCTGGATTCTTTCAGCAAGTAAGCTCCTTCGCTACCTACAAACTTAATGATGTCCGTAGAGTAGTGACTAAAGGCAAAAAGGCTGAAAAAAAGCGAAAAAACGCACTTCTCGACCTCTTGCAGTACAGCTTCGAGCCAAAACAAACCAACTGTCAACGTCACGAGTTGTTAACTTGAATATACAAATCTAGGATATTTTACGGCCCAGCGATCAGTTGTCAAGCCAAAGAAGTCCGTAACTATGGGTCTTTTTTGCTCTTTTTAGAAAGAAATCAGGACAAATAAGTGCTAAATAGGATTATCTAGACTGAAAATAAGCGATTGAAGTGACTTTTTTCAACTTTTTGAAAATTTCAAAAATACCCTGAATCGTCACTTAAGCCGTCCTTGTATCTGCCCCTTCAAATAATGGAATACAAACAAGCAAAACAAGGGGGCCTATTATAGGCAAATCTGCAACCAAGCAATGTCTTCACAACCATAAACTACCACAAAAATAAGAGCATTACTAAAAACTGAACTCTAAAATCAGTAGAGACTGTTAAGGCTGATTTACATGGCACGATTGTCTCGTGCGACTTGTAGTATACGACTTGAATCGTGCAGTGTAAATGCCCCTACGACTTGTCTACAACAGTCGTACGCAACCTACGACTTGTAGTAGGGTTTTGAACCACTGCTTAAAATCCTACGACTTGTAGTAGGAAAATTGTATACTACAAGTTGCGCGACAAATTGTACGGAAACAATGCAATATGAATGACAATAGGCAAAATTGATACCTCAAATCTGTATGGTCTTTTGGGTACATCTATTGCTGTCTGATCAGCTATAGACTTGAACTGTGCATTAGTATGGTCTCTAAGGAATGTCAGGACTGGTATAATGCCTTCAGGTGATATCAATATCTCTAGTTCCTTGGTGTGGGTTACCTGTGCTGACTGGACAAACTTTGGCAGTACGTTTGCCACATATTCACCAAACTCAGACAACTGCACCACTTGTTTATCTTCTGCAAGGGAAAAAAAAAACAATCTTGAACTATGACAAGTATGACACTCTCACAGAATACACCTTTTCAGTTGCTCTTAAGCTTCGAGAGCGTGTTAAATATTCTTTTGAATGTGTAGGAATGTGAGCAATGCAAACATTGATATGAATAGTCTCATTTGTCAAATTCAAAGGAATAATTAACTTGCTATCGAGGCCTAAGAGGAACTGAAAAGCTGCATTGTGTGTAGTTCCAGAAAATATCCATACCCCCACCACGGAGGATTTTGGAAATTCCGAGGAGGTGGGAGGTTAAAGTAGCTTGGAAATTCCGAGGGGGGTGGGGGTAATACCTGCCTTTTTATCGGAAATTCCGTAGGGGTGGGGGGTTGGGGAAGAGTTGTAAAAAATCGGTCAAAAATCGGAAATTCCGGGGGGGGCCGGGGGATGATAAATGAAATATCCTCCGTGGTGGAGGTATGGATATTTTCTGGAACTACACATTGTCTATCATGAGTTCACAGGATTTGAGAATTGCCCTATTTGACTACATGATGCATCATCATTTTCATGACGGTGACACCAGGCTGTGACAAAGCCCGAATGAACAATCTCAGAGTGTAAAGCTTCCTTATGTAWTTGATTCTAATATATTTTGCTCAAACAAATTGAAGATCAGAATATTTTCCCAAGTTGCTGTTATAACCTATATCAATGCTGTATAACTGGCATCTATAGCAGATAATGGTTCACATGCTTCTCCTCTCAAAATGGTGAAAATATTGCGAAATATTTAGTTAAAAAGATCCCGTATAATATACAAGGATAACTATGTTGTCTTAGCGAACACTAACCTTTCACAGCGACTTCTGAATCTGAAGCCAAGCATCTTTTGGGGATCAGTGATAAGATTGACGGTTTTTTTCCATACTGGAATGCTACAAATGAAGTTAAATAGCTCTCTGTAAGCATAATTGAGCTGTACATTTGATAAATATGTAAGAAAATACAAATTAGATTATTTTAAGCTTATGTAAGCTTTAGCTTAACTACATGAAAATTGCAGTTGAACAACCCGGCTCACCATATCCTACCGGTTTGGAATATTTCATGTAGCATAAAATACTGCTTTCTTATACCATCTTAGGTGAYATACAACTACTTACTTTGTGGTGAGTATCGCGAACAGACTGTTCCAACGATCCTCGAAGCACGAAAAACACCACCAAGTATGGACGCCATCTTGGATAGAGCTCCTACGCAGGCGCAATAGTTCACYTACAAAGCGATACAGGAAACCCGTGACCATGCAAAAACAGAAAAAAAAGAGGGAGAGAGAAAAGGAAAAAACCAATAATAATTCAATAAAAAAATACAACGGCCTCACGTACGTCCGTGTTATTTCTTTTAACAGGAATGRGCTATTTTACTGATAAAGTTGCCAATTTACAAATAGAATGTTCTCATGCAAAAATTTCAAAGACTAATCAGCTGAAACTGTAGCCTGTGTACATCCGGTTTATTTTCAAAATTAACCCTCGTGTTTAGGGGTAAACGCTTGATGAACTCAGTCTACTGAAACTGAACTTATACAATTTTTATTGACAAGCATGATGAAGATTCAAACCCAGCACTATGTAACCTCAATTTTATGGGATGTTTTTAAAATTTACCAATATTTCTTTTTGTCTATATTTGTGATGTCATCACTATAAGGGGGGGGCTATAAGTCTATAACTGTGCCCCGCCCAAGTCAATTTTGGCTCCACCAACCTGCCACATAAATCACTCTACTTTATAAGATTGTATACCCAGTTAATGAAGCTTCTTTGCACATTAGAATCCTGTATACACATTAAAATTGGTACAACAGACGTCTTCTCTCTCCCACTGGGGACAGACACAAATGGTGGTTTTATATTTCCTTTACAAAATKTTTCTATTGTTTTCAAGTGCACAACACCTCATACATGGTCAGTATAGACAAATAGATTCCACTGGTAAATATATTAACTATAACTATAGTCATCTATTCCTTTTAAAAACGATTTGCCCACAAAAACTTCAGTTTTACATTACTGTCAAGAATGCTCATCCCTCCATCCTAAGTGGTTAGGTCTCCATGGCTACTGTGGAGGGTGAAGTGTTGGGTCTCCATGGGTACTATGGGTAGAGTCCAATGTTTTCTTTTTCATGTAATTTCAAAGTATTGTTTCAATAGAGTGCATGTACATTGATTTAGCATTGATGTAATTTAAAAAAAAAAAAAAAAAAAAATTGATGTAATTTTCATTCCTGTAAAAATATATCGCATTTTTGTTTTTAGACATATTTAGATTATAAAAACATATAAAATTCTTTGTTGCTATTATCACCATGGATACATTTCTTATCATTCATAATAATGTTTATTTTGATATAAAATCGATCAAATGATTTCATTTGAACACACTTTCAATATTATGTCTTAAATGTTCAATAACTTCAATCATTTCTATCTTTAACTCTATTTCTTTTTTAAATGTCAAGTTTTGTATTGTTTGTTTTTGAAAATGTTGTTAGGTGATGGTTAACTTCTGTTTTGTCAATCAAGAACATTTGAGAAGGATCTGACGTATGACTCCGATGTACGGATGTACATATACATATATATGTTTTTTACAGAAGGCCTCTCATGTACATATTATGTGGAGAAGAGTTTAGAAAATTTTAAAAAAAGTTTTGCTATTGTTTGTTTTTAAAAATGTTGTTAGGTGATGGTTAACCTCTGTTTGGTCAATTAAGAAGAACATTTGAGAAGGATCTGACTTACGACTCCTATGTACACATACAGATGCTCATACAGAAGGCCTCTCATGTACATATTATGTGGAGAAGAGCTTAGAAAATTTAAAGACTTAAACTGAAAAGAAATTTTTTAAAGGAAGATGATAGGATTTGAACTAGTGCTATGCATTGCCTAACACTATATTTTCCCTAAACCTAACCATTAAGCCAGGAGTTCAATTGCTTTAGTGAACCAGATTTTTTTTGGTATTTATATTCCGCATGAATAGGCACATGTACATGTATGTACATAAGCTTGCATACATAATAATGAAGCTTCAGTGTGTACATGAGAAGMCTTCTATACCAACATTAGTGACCCTGTATATGTACATCTGTATAAGGAAGTCTTACGACAGAACATTTTCAATATATCACATGGCTTTGGCATTCACACTGTGACCTTCTGCAATTATTTGAAAATATACCAATTAAAGGTTCAAAACTCTGATTCTTGGCAGCATATAAGCTTTAAAATGATAYTGACTTCCCTCCCATAGACTTCAATCAACAGCAAGCATTCTTGTCACTTTGTGTTGTTGTGGGAGTGTTTATCCGAAAAGAACTGATTGTTTGTGTTTCCTTTGGAGACTTTGCTTGCTTTAAAAGTACAATACCAACTTCCTTTAATAAGTCCTCAATTTCTTGTCCACCATCCTTGGCTGATATCTTATGTTTCAGATTTTTTTCAAAAGAATAGCCTTTACCATTCAGCTTGGCCTCAACTTCTTCTTCCCGAACTGCCTGATCCTCCAAGTCAATCTTGTTTCTTATTAAAAATTTCTTGGCACCAGGWGCATGTCTATTGACATCTTCAATATAGTCTTTTAAGTCATCTACACTGTCCATATCATCAGCACTGTACATAATGAGCGCTACTCTGCTTTCACGATAGTAGGAACGTGTTATTGTCTTTTCATGCCATTTCTCCATACCTGCTGTATCGAATAATCTTATCTGTTGAGCAATTAAATGTATAAGTATTACTTAATGGAGCCTACTCATACATGAAACTCTTCACAGCTGTTTCTGGTGTTATCAAGTCTAAGTCACACATTTGAATTTCCTGATTTTCTAATAAAATTGTTAGTACAAAGAATATATTATATATATTGACTTGCTGACACAGAGGAACAGCCATTAACGATCTTTGGATCAGATGCCTTTAGTCATAGAAACATTATTCATCATGACTAATCAGATACATTGTACATGCATGACTTCGATTTATAAGCAGTTGCAAGGTAAAAATCTTACAAGTCATAAATGGAGGGTAACTTTCAGAGAGCTAGAGAAGTGGATACAACATGAGGAATGGCTCCCAAAAGAGATAAAATGCAATAATAGGCATTGCTTGCCTCAAATCATCCATGTGATCATAATATACTTACGTCAACGGATTTGTTATTGAGTACAATAATTTTTTTATCCAAGTAATCAAGAGTTTCTCCTTGTATGTTRTCATGAAATTTGCCATCCTTTATTCTCAGGAACAAAGTACTCTTGCCTACTCCACTCCTACCAATCAAAATTACTTTAGATGGGCCAGTGCCTGAATGCTTTCTCGAGCTCGTGGAAGATTCTAACTCACTTTCTCCGTCCGCCCTTTGGTCCGCCATGTTTTTTTTTAGAAAAGCTAGAGAAGGACTGGAGCAAGTCTTGCACGAACGACCACCGAAGCAAACACGATAAACACGATTCATAAAAATAATCTAACAAAATAGAACAACTTAAGCAAACTTTGAATTTAAGTTGTAAAATATACTAGTTTCGGAACACTGTATTTTTTTCGGGTCATTTTACTAATATCTAATGTTTTAATAATGACACGAAAATTTTCCGAGTGATTCTCGGAAATGTGATTAAAAACTCGGATTTACCGACTCACACACAGTCCGCCGGTTCTGGAAAATAGACCGAGGTGAGGTTTTGTTGTGTGTAAATCTTTACCATGTCATATGCACTCCATTTAAACTTAACTACTATATTTGTCGTAGGATTATTTATCTACTATATAACTTACATCCCAGATAAGCTCGACGATTGTCTGTTTATACTTCAGAGCAKCATGTTAGTAGGAGAGTAATCCTGATGATGCTGTAGAACAGCGAATGCTCGACTTCATCTCTAAAGGTATTTACCATCTAACAGCAGTATCTGGTATTTACCATCTAACAGCAGTATCTGGCCGAATTTGCTATATTATTACTCATTTTTCTGTTTTCTGGCCAGGCAACTGATTATAGGGCATTTGCRGTTGGCCTCTTTCATTTCCTGTCCCTTTCATTCGTTCCATTTTGTTCTATTCCATTTAATTCTATCTTATTCATTCTATATTTGTATATTAAACGCTATCATCCCATATTCTTTCAGATATTAACTGGCTTCAGGAAGCTCACTAGGACTTCACAGTAAGCTTTAATAATGGAGTGATTGTCAACCAACTGTCATTTCAAGGATGGCATCTTCATCAAATAATGATGTCCAAACCTTCAAAGTTGTGTTRTGTGGTGAGAAGGGTGTTGGGAAAACTGCCATCTATCATAGGCTTAAAGATGATAAGTTCTATGACACAGAGTCACATACAGCAACCACTGATGAGTGCATGTTATCTATCCCTTGTGGAAAACATCTAGTTAAGGTTTGAAATCTCTTGAAAGTTTCCTCTGCTATCTTGAGAGATTAGTCTCTTGAGAGACTTATGTGCCTYTGTAGCAAATTGAGATGACAGTTATGGATACCTGGTGTCCGTGTAAACAAAGATTCTCTCATTGAATGACTGCAAAGGCACAGCTATCTTTCAAGGTGACACAAGAAACTTTCTTAGAAAAATTACACATGAGTAGTCCCTATTTAGTGATTAATAGTTGTTATCACTGAACCAGAACTGCAGTTTGATATAAGACCAGGAGCAGATCCAGCAATTTTCAAATGAGGGGCTGTCAACAAAAATGGGGGATTTTTGCAGGAATTTGTCATTGCTTTATCAACTCGAAAGCGCAAATGATAAATAAGAAATGACAGTCAAATGTGCAAATTGTTTTGAGGGTTATTTTATTTTCCAATGTTTCTTGTTGCCTTTTTAACTCGGAGATTGCGTAGCAATCGTAGAGTTATTGGGAGGGGACGGCTGTCACTCGCTCGATCAATTTCCTGTAAACTCGAGCCTGCAATGTCTTTGTCAGCAGTTATTCATTTAATCATATTAATGTATTCTACTTAATTATTATT